TTTGGGAGGCTGAGGTAAGAGAATTAGTTAAGCCTAGGAGTTGGAGGTTGCTGTGAGCTGTGATGCCACGGCACTACCCACAGGGGGACAGCTTGAGGCGCTAAAAAAAAAAAAAAAAAAAAAGCACAGAGAAGATGACATTTGTGACGAGCTTTGAGAGAGAAGGCAGAGTTTTTTGGTCATTCATTCCCAGCATAAACATTTGAAAAGGTTGACAAAACTGTCAAATTCCCAGAAAAATGTTAACTTATTAATTCAAAAAGATAGGCTTGGGGCATCTGTAGCACAGTGGTTACAGGGCCAGCCACATACACCCAGACTGGCAGGTTTGAACCCGGCCAGGCTCAGTTAACAACAATGACAACTGCAACAAAATAGCCAGGTTTTGTGGCAGGCACCTGTAGTCCCAGCTGCTTGGGAGCCTGAGGCAAGAGAATTGCTAGAGCCCAAGAGTTTGAGCTTGCTGTGCGCTGTGACACTGCAGTCTACCAAGGGCAACATAGTAAGACTCTTGTCTCAAAAAAAAAGCAACATAAAGGCCAGACTCAGTGACTTACGCTTGTAATCCTAGCACCCTGGGAGGCTGAGGCAGGTGGATTGCCTGAGCTCACAGGTTGTACACCAGCCTAAGCCAGTGTGAGACCCTGTCTCTTAAAAATAGCTGGGCAATAGGATGAGTGCCTATAGTCCCAGTACTCAGGAGACTGAGGCAAGAGAATCTCTTAAGCCCCAAAGTTTGAGGTTGCTGTGAACTGTGATGCCCCGGCACTCTACCAAGGGGAACAGTGTGAGGCTCTGTCTCAACATATATATATATATATATGCATTTTTTATGTACTTTGTGTTTGCTTAATTTTTTTTATGTGTATGTTTCCTAAACTTTAAAAGGACTTAACTATAATATTCCTCTCATATACTGTCCTTATCTCATTTTACTATCAGAGTTATACCGGCCTCATAGAATAAGGTGAGCAGGAATTCTGTCTTATATTTGTTTTGGTTTTTTTTGTAGAGACAGAGTCTTACTTATCGCCCTCAGTAGAGTGCCCTGGCGTCACACAGCTCACAGCAATCTCCAATTCCTGGGCTTAGGCGATTCTCTTGCCTTAGCCTCCAGAGCAGCTGGGACTACAGGTGCCCGTCACAACACCCAGCTATTTTTTTTGTTGGGGTTTGAACCCGCCACCCTTGGTGCATGGGGCCGGCACCCTACCTACTGAGCCACAGGTGCCGCCCCTTATATTTGTTTTTATAAGAGTTCATCTTTCCCTTTTATCTGCAGACCTCTGTAAATTTTGAAGTTTTCTTCTTTGCAGTTAATTTTTTTTTTTTTTTTTGAGACAGAATCTTACTTTGTCACCCTTGGTAGAGTGCAGTGGCATCATAGCTCACAGCAACCTGAAACTCCTGGGCTCAAGTGATTCTCTTCCCTCAGCCTCCTGTGTAGCTGGGACTATAGGCACCCACCACAACATGTTCCTATTTTTAGAGACAGGGTCTCACTCTTCCTCAAGCTGGATTTGTAGTTAATTTTTGGCAACTGTTCATTGTCCTTCATGGTTATAGAACTGCTTTATTTATTTTATTTGTTTATTTATTTTAAGACAGAGTCTTATTATGTTGCCCTCAGTAGAGTTCCTTGGCATCACAGCTCACAGCAACCTCAAACTCTTAGGCTTAAGTGATTCTCTTGCCTCAGCCTCCCAAGTAGTTGAGACTATAGGCACCCACTACAGTGCCAGGCTATTGTTGTTGTTGCTGTCGTTGTTTAGCAGGCCCAGGCTGGGTTCTAATCTGTCAGCAGCAGTGCATGTGGCTGGTGCTCTAACCACTGAGCTATGGGCACTGAGCCCTTTGGATTTTTTTTTTTCAATTAATAGTTTTACTGAAATAGAGTTCCCATACCATACAATTCACTCATTTGAAGTGTACAATTAAAAGGTTTTACTATCATCACAGATGTGAATCACCATCAATTTAAAACATTTTCATCACCTACAAACAAAATCCTAGGCCAGATGTAGTGGCTCAAGCCTAGCACTTTGGAAGGCCCAGGTGGGAGGATATCTTGAGACCAGGAGTTGAAGGCCACTCTGAGCAACATAGTGAGACCCTGTATCTGCAGAAAATTAAGAAATTAGCTGGAAATGGTGGTGTACACCTGTAATTCCAGGTACTTGGGAAGCTAAAGCAGGATATTACTTGAGCCCAAAAGTTTGAGGTTGCTGTTGGATAACAGAGCAAGGCACTATCTCAAAAATAAAAAATAAAAATAAATAAATAAAAATTTAAAAAAGAAGCTCCAAACCTTTTAGCCATCACCTTCCTGTCCTCACATCCCCTACCACTTGTCCTAAACAACTGCTAACCTACATTCCATCTCTATAGATTTGCCTATTCTAAACATTTTACATAAATAGATTGTACAATATGTGGTCTTTTGTGATTCGCTGGTAGTATTATTTTTATATATTCCTGATAAACTCTTTTTTTTTTTTTTTGAGAC